TGACCTTGATCCGATGACCTTGATAACTCGAACTTGTAGAAGAAATTTAATTCTTTATGACTGTGTGAAGTTTGATTAAAAACCAAGAAAGAATGAAGACGCTAGAGTGCTGACAAAGTTTTTCTATTTATAGTAATAGTGACCTTGACCTTGATCCGATGACCTTGAAACTCGAACTTGTTGAAGAGATTTTAATTCTTTACATGTGTGTAAAGTTTGATTAAAATCCATGAAAGAATGAAGGCTCTAGAGTGCTGACAAACCTCTTCGGACAGACGGACAGACGGACGGACAGACGGAGGGGAAAACTATAGTCCCCCCGGTTTCACCGGTAGGGGACTAATAAATAAAGTACGCAAATATTAAATTTAAAATTCATTAGACAACTGGTTTAGGATCGAAAGATGGCATTAGTACAAAGAGAGACATAGAGCTGCATTTTCATAATAAAATGTGCAAATATTTTCAGTTGTGCATTATTTGGATGAAAATTGGACATTTTGAAGGAAATTAACTCTTTTATTTAAAGCCTCTGCATGCACCATTTTAACAAATAAATAGTTGACATGCTTAATTAAGCATTGTCATACCAGTGTTCATTAGTAGAAAGGAATTTTGGTTTGTCACATTGGGAGGCTTTCATTTCTGTCATGCTAACTGTCCAAAACACTATACTTTTGCTATTTCTGCATAGCAACACAATTTTGTTGCTATGGTAAGGCATCTTTGCATATTAGCCCCAATCAATATGATATTTATAAAAGAAATTGGTATTTAAAGAATCTTTTACTTTTCATGAGGCCAAAAATAACCCATAACATCCCAAGTCCTTTGGGTGAAATCTAATACTTTGTTCAGAAGTAAGGTTTTAAGTGACCAAGAAGCTCAAGGGCCTTAATAGCTCTTCAGGTTTGATTGTATAACCTCTTGTTTCGCAATTGTGCAACTGAGTGAACAAATAAAATCTTGAAATCTTGGTATTTTGTTTTCAATTCAAAACCTGCTGAATACCATACCTATTCCTTAGATGCATGGGCATAACACCAGCAATAAATATGAGCATGGAGTGAAGATCTTAAATGTTTCCTTATGCTATATGACCCTGCTGGAAGTAAATCCAAGCCAAGTCAAACCCAGGGGCTAACCCTGTCCATGCCTAGCAATTGCATTCATGTTCATAGGGTGACAATTTCAATTGTTTCCACGTAATGACCAAAGATGTAAGTACAAAGAGGTGGGACTTGACACCTGGAGTCAATCCCGATAGCACGAATGCCTGTCTCTTTATGCCTTGCAATAGTTATAGGGTAGGGATCTCAACTGTTTCCATGTTATAACCTGGGGAGTTAGTCCCAAGGGGTGGAGCTGGACCTCTGAACTAAGAATGGTAGTTTGTATAAACGATTTGGTCTATTCATGCATAGGAATTATTTATTTGGTTACAGGGTGGGCATCCAGACCGTTGCAAAGTTATAACCAATTTTTTCAATCAGAAAAATGACAGATGATGGATGATGGGCTAGGAGTTTTTACATAAGGTGTGCTAAAATTGTCAGCTATGTTAATGGCAAAAGAAATCAGAAAAAAAGTGAAGAAAAATTAAAAATAAAGTAAAAACAATATGTCCCAATATTTTGAGGCATAATTATTTAGCAAACTTGTCTGATGCTGTAACAAGTAGATTCCTTCAAATAACATTGCAAGCAAACCTCAATAAGGAATAGAAATTTAACTATACATATATACCTCTGCCTTGGAGTTGCGAATAAGCTGTTTTTCTTTCATTTTTAATTCACGTTCCACCTTCTTTTCCTTTTTTGTAGTTACATCACCAACTAATACCCGTGGGTTCTTTTCATGTGGTTCTTTGTCATTAGAAGAGTCTGAAATATGATCAATACAATTCACAAAATGGTCACTCCCCTTATGTGGTTAACTGGACCACAGTCATTGGAGAAGTTACAAAACATGTAGATGATCTACATACATATATATATTGTAACCTTTCAAATGATGACTGACTTCTGTAAAGCCCACTGCCATGTGAGCAAAATTAAAATGATCTACAAACAAGAGTCTTTTTTTATGTTGGTAATGAAGAACTGAAACCTGGATTCACCTTTACTATCTGTTACCTGGTACATACCTGTAACTTATATTTCTCCCACCTTTCACAGGCGTGTCTCCCATTTTAGCCGGGAAAGATCAGCTAGGGGGAGATAGCCTCGTGTCGATTAGCACATGTTCAATTATGACGTCATTAAAATGTGTCACCGGTAATTGTGACATCATCAAAAGTGAATGACAATATTCATACCCCACATGTGTTTTTGTTAACAAACTTGGTAGGTTATTGTTGGTGGAGTTGTGACAGAAATAATAGGATGGAAGAAAAATAGTCAACCCCTATCTTGAGGGTGTAACAGAGAAATCTCCAACCCCCGGGGTGATTTTTGTTGGCAGAGCCTCGGGTTGGACAACCAAAAAATGCACCCATCGGGTAGGAGATTTCTCTGTCACACCCTTAAGGTAGGGGAAGATTATATTAATCACTAGCATGCAGGGCACCATATCTGTCTCCCATTATGTTTATATTAGGGACACTTAGACCAGGACTGCGGTCACATCCGTAATTTATTTATCACTCACCTGGGACAAACTTTTTTTTATATCACTCACCTGCGACACCATTTTATCTCAATGAGTAATAGCACTATGCCATCACCAATAGTTAATATTGAAAGATTCCGTTGTAATCCTTAGATCCACAAGTTATTTCCTGATCAATAAAATCCACACACTCAGTCACATTTCATTTGCCTTTCAAGTCTCAATAAATGTACAGTATCAGTGACTTTTAAATAGGGTCACACACACAATTTAAAAGCCTCCTTTTATCATGTATACAATAAAGTTTAATATGAGACATCCCAAAGTGGAATGCCTTTAGCTCCAGTAAGCTTACTTTTATCTTATCAACTAAACATTTAGGTTAAACTGGGTCAGCTTCATTGCCTACATTAGTTTTTACATCAGTTACATACAATCTGATATTGTACAACAGATTGTGACTTGTAGAAGGAAGGACTAGCTGTTTTATGATGCCACCAGGTCAAAACTTCACAGTTTATTTCCTCCTGACACAAGGCTGTGTACAGTTGTTCTTTTGGGGATCAAACAATTTTCTAATGAACATATAAATCATGTGATCCGGTATCAAATGTACCCAGATGAAATACTTTAAAATGGTATAAAGTAGAAGAGATGACCATTACAACATCAAATAAGGTCATCTACATGAGTCCAACATTAACACCCTTTTGCCAAGTCAGTTGAGAAAAGCTGTTATAATGCATTTACTGATTTACTGATATTGCATTTACTTGATTTTTTACATGTTGCTCGTTTAAAAAATATGGCCATAGAAACTTTCAAGATTATAAACGGCACTTCACCATCATTTTTACATGATCTTATTGAACAAAGAAATGTTTTATATAATTTTAGAATAGAGGACACTCTGAAGATTCCAAGGGTAAATGTTTAGATTTGAGGCGGCCCGGTTGTGGAACAGTCTGCCAATCGAGTACAGAAAGATAGAGGACTACCAGACTTTCCGTAGACTGCTCCGCAACTGGGATGGCCAACTATATGCTCTTGTGGAATTTGCACAAACACAGTGATATTCACCTCAGGAATTTATCTTTTGTGATATTATTTCTACTTTATATGTGATATGCTATTGTGTAAATTTGTGTCTCTCTTCCTTTTTAGTATTCTGTGATTTTTTGTTGTTAAATTACTTAATATGCGTATATTTATGTTTGTCGCAAGAATAGCACTACAGTGCTAATGTTATTTTGTTTGTAATATGCGACGGTAAATAAAATTTCTTGAAACTTGAATCTTGACCATCAGCAACTATCACTACTATCGTAGTCACCTGCCCGACCACATGGGTTTTCTCCAGGTACTCCGGTTTCCTCCCACACTAAGACCCCCCGAGCACTAATATCCGGGCCAACAAGACTGATAATTTGTTTCTTATTTGTTGTAAAACAAATAAAGTTTATATTTATCACTTCTAACAGGGCCATATCAGTAACTACAGCCACTTACTGGGCCACATATCAGCACTATGGCCTTTTACAGGGCCATATATCAGCACTATGGCCATTTATATTACTGGGCCATATATATCAGCACTATGGCTACTTACTGGGCCACATATCAGCACTATGGCCATTTACAGGGCCATATATCAGCACTATGACCTTTTACTGGGCCATATATAGCAGCACTATGGCTACTTCCTGGGCCATATATCAGCACTATGGCCATTTACTGGGCCATATAGCAGCACTGGCCATTTACTGGGCCATATAGCAGCACAATGGTCACTTACTGGCCCATATAGCAGCCCTATGGCCATTTACTGGGCCATATAGCAGCACTTGCCATTTCCTGGGCCATATAGCAGCCCTGTGGCCACTAACTGGGCCATATAGCAGCACTATGGCCACTTACTGTGCCATATAGCAGCACTATGGCCACTTACTTGCCATATAGCGGCACTATGGCCACTTACTGGGCCATATAGCAGCACTATAATGGCCACTTACTGGGCCATATAGCAGCACTATGGCCATTTACTGGGCCATATAGCAGCACTGTGGCCACTAACTGGGCCATATAGCAGCACTATGGCAATTTACTAGTGGGCCATATAGCAGCATTGGCCATTTACTGGGCCATATAGCAGCACTATAATGGCCACTTACTGGGCCATATAGCAGCACTATGGCCACTTACTTGCCATATAGCAGCACTATGGCCACTTACTGGGCCATATAGCAGCACTATGATGGCCACTTACTGGGCCATATAGCAGCACTATGGCCATTTACTGGGCCATATAGCAGCACTATGGCCACTTACTGGGCCATATAGCAGCACTATGGCCACTTACTTGCCATATAACAGCACTATGGCCACTTACTGGGCCATATAGCAGCACTATGGCCACTTACTGGGCCATATAGCAGCACTATGGCCACTTACTTGCCATATAGCAGCACTATGGCCACTTACTGGGCCATATAGCAGCACTATAATGGCCACTTACTGGGCCATATAGCAGCACTATGGCCATTTACTGGGCCATATAGCAGCACTGTGGCCACTAACTGGGCCATATAGCAGCACTATGGCAATTTACTAGTGGGCCATATAGCAGCATTGGCCATTTACTGGGCCATATAGCAGCACTATAATGGCCACTTACTGGGCCATATAGCAGCACTATGGCCACTTACTTGCCATATAGCAGCACTATGGCCACTTACTGGGCCATATAGCAGCACTATGGCCACTTACTGGGCCATATAGCAGCACTATGGCCACTTACTGGGCCATATATGTACATCAGCAGCTACCGCCACTTACTGAGCCATATCAGCATACTACAGCCTGTTTAATATGCGGCAGCCGTTTTTATAATTTTAGGTGTTCACCTTCCCTTGTACTGTTTGTTCAAGACATTAGCAACTACTAGTTGACAACTCAGTCTTTTAGGTGGGTCATTAACTATGTAATTACTGACCAGTCAATTGTTCTTGTTGTAGGTATCTCTTCTATTTAATATACCACAGAGTACTCCTCTGGCTTGGTGACTGAGGTTTAAGCTGAACTTTACTGTACAACTTGCTACTAAGCAGACGCTGGTCTCATTCTGTCCCAACATAATATATCATATCTAAAAACATAAGCCTTGTGCATCTCTTGTTGTATCAAGTTATATGGTGTGTTTGCCTAATCTACTTTATATAAGGAATTTGAACATTGACTGTAGTTATACATACCCTAGTGTGTCTAATCATGCGTGTATCGACTATAAACGCGGTGTTGAACAAACAATTACCGCTACGTACAAAACAGATACCACAACACTAGTTCCGTAACAGACATGATCCACACACTTCAATGGCCAACACTACAAACACGACGCTTATACACTAGAATTATCCTTTTTTACAAAATTATACACAGAATCGTAGCTTTAAACCCAACACATATACTCACACCTGTAGACCCCCGCACCAGACAGGTACACCCGTACGCATACAAATACATATCTGCTACAAAGGACACCTACAAATACTCATTCTTCCCACACACAGTAACACAATGGAATCTCCTCCCCTTAGCAGCAGTCCAATGCACAACACTAGAGGACTTCAAGGCACACTTACCCTACACAGCCCTTGAAGCCCTCATCACACACTAGTACATACACCAGATTTTAACTTTTTATCTATACCTTGCACAAAAAAAAATCACAAAAAAAACCACCCTCCCCTAATCACTATAAATAACCCCTTCACGCCTCTACAATAGTACCCCCGATGGCATAATCATCAAAATGATGGAGCCCTCGTATATAAAGAAGAAGTAGAAGACATACAAAGGTTCTTGAAATCTAATTTCATGTCCATGTTGAAAATCAATAGACAAATACACCAACATGTAGGAGACCTTTGTCGGCGTATCATATAAAATATTTGATAGGTCTATCCATTGGTTATGTTTCGATATCAATATACAAAAGAAACAATATTAGGATAACAACGAACGGATGACAACGAACCCGTTACCAAAGAAAGACGGTTGACCGAACAGTTTTACGTCTTACTAACACTCTTACCAACCTGATGGGAATATTTTCGAACTCAAGCAGCCCATGTTCAATGTTGACCTGCACACATTCCGCCTGAGTGGTCTGTGATTTAACTGTTATACGTCTGTTGTACTAGCCATCTATGTCGGTCATACATGACTTCGTTGGGTAGGTTGTTAACTTGATGGAGTGTAATGTTGCGATTCTCATGTTTACCTAATGTGGAACACTTCGGGCTAATACACAGTAACCACGGACAGAAAAGAAACGTTCCGAAATGTTATCTAGCATGACGACTAAAGAAAGATTACTCTTGTTCGTGTCGGAGACTACCCGCACGTTGCCCAGGGCTTCCTGTGAACTTTCTTTTTAGTGATGAATTAATAATAACAAAAAACCAAGAGGCCATCCGATGAGAAAATGTTTTGTCGCAACAATAGCAGTGCTAATGTTATTATGTTAGTCCGAATTTTTCTGACGTTTTATCGACTTTATTTATATCGGCCTGTCGTCGATTAACGACGTTAATCGACGACAGGCCGATATAAAAAAAGTCGATAAAACGTCAGAATAATTCGGACAAGTTACATGTATATATATATACGACGTTAAATAAAGCTTCTTGACTCTTGACATGTTAGATACCAGATGCTGAGAGATCGAGGGTCATAACCTCACACCACAGGGACCTGCTAATTTGTTACAGCGGCTATATTTGGACCTAAACTAAGGTGTTCAGAGTAATTTGTCATTTTTACCGAAAGTCGATCTAAACCCCTTAATTTGTAAAATTACTCTGAACACCTTAGTTTAGGTCCAAATATAGCCGCTGTAACAAATTAGCAGGTCCCTGTGAATCACACAACCTTCCCAAACATCTTTAGCATTCTAAATATATATATAAAAAAATATATGGATTACGGCCGCCTAGAGTTCGGAGAAACCCGGGTTCGAATCCCGTTCTGGTCATGCATTTTTCTATCTCCTTCAGTGTAACAAGTGCATCGCCGTGACCCGGCTTATTTATCGGTATCGAAGGCTTATACATTAATCGCAAATTATGCCAACTTATTTAGTCTTTCCTGTATACAATCACGCACTAGACTAACTAATCTCAACCCTCGGGGAAAGATTATTAAGTAACCAACCACTCGGCACAGCCTCGTGTTTGGCAACTTAAAAATCTTCCCCTCGGGTTGAGATTCCCCTATCTCACCCCAAGGGGGTGACAGATTCTATTAGTCTTTAATTAAAACGTGTTTTTTAAATAAACAGTGAGAGTGTTAGGAAAAGAGAAAGATAAGTTGAAGCAGGAGGACCTAGATTGAGATTGAAAACTAAGGTGGTCCGGTGGTGCAGTGGATAGCGCACTTGTATTGCCTTTCGCCAATTTGCAAGGCGGCGGCGAGATTCGATTCCCCGACCGGACCGTGAAAAGGGATGGGGTCGCCTGCCCGACACCCCGCTCGCTATCCAGTGGTTACGCTCACTTTCCGTTCATTCTCACTTATCATGCGCCAATACATATATACAGTAAAAGTGGAAAATGAACTTTGCATTGCAAACCTTGTTTTTTCATTTTTTTTCTCTCAAAGGATTTTGTGAACTGTCCATTCCCAACAGGTCATTGTCAGTAAAACAGATACGTGAGGCAGTACTTCTTCAATACAAAATGTTTTTCTTCTTCAAAGAGGTATGGCGGGTTGCTATGCCTATTTCCCCAAAGTTATGTTACGCTGGTGCGCGCATCCAACCGTGCACTGTTATGACGCGTCATCAGGTATTTTTAAACAGGTATACGTAGCTATATCGGAATCCTGTGTCTAAGAATAGATTATTGTAAACAGACGAATTTAAGGCCATGGCTATTAATACATGCGTTTAACGATAAAGGCTCAACACAATACTTATTTCACGTTTTTTATATTGATTTATAACAAATTATACGCTTTAATATATGTAATACAAGATCGTGGAATCTATACGAAACACTTTTGAACGGATTTAATTTTCATCACTACTACCTGCGTTCGGTAAATCGGTAGCATTCAGAATGAGTTCTGAGAAAGTATCCGGTCTCGGGCGATAATCCGCATGTCGCACTAAATAGTAACGAAATTATTACTAACAAAACTGATAAATCAATAGGTATATTATTAAAATGTAAACAAAATTTTCCCTCGATTTGAAAAACAAAATATTGCTTTGTTAAGGAAAATGATCACATGCCTAAATATTTAAAAAAAAAAAAAAAAAAAAAAAAAATGAGGGAGGATTCGAACATGCACCGTTTATTTTTTAGTCACAAGTAAACTGCGTTACACATTCGGCTAAATAGAACATATAGATATTGGCAATTACAAACTGATTTAACCCGAGAAACACCTGTCGCAGTTCAGAGAAACTTGATCAACCCTATTTTTCATTATTTGAGCACTTTCCCAAAGAAGGACCACTTTTCCGTAATCCGATTTGTTTTTGCATATTACATCACCTACATGACCAAGTCGATTTTATCTGGGAAAATAATGCACCAAAACAGAAACGTGACCAAAGTGAACATATATGTTACATATTTTCCTAGTGATGTGATCCCTTATCCTCACATATCCCACCCTTTTCTTTCATAGCTTTTCACTTATTAATCCTTTAAAAACCATTTATAGTAGTTAAATTTATTTGAACATCTACAATAACGTACGTAAATTAACCATTATCATATGCATTCATGCCTTTAGGTTTCCTAAGATTTGAAGATATTCCCCTTGAAAACTAAGCCAGGGCCCGTATTCATGAAACCGTTCTCATGCTCAAGCATGGAGTTTGTGCTCAAACCAACTTTCTTGAAACTCTATAAATTCATGTCAAATGATCAAAAAGTAAAATTTCAACATTAAAAACAGCAGTTTGCCTTAAGTCTCTTCATTTTTTTTACGTAAATAAGGCTTGTTTATAAAATTAAAACGTAAACAAGAAATTGGGCTTGAGCACAAAATCCATGCTTGAGCATGAGAGTGGTTTCATGAATACGGGCCCAGATGATGCAAGCAAAATTAAATTCACTCGGTATTCGCTTTAAATTTACACATTGTACAACAATGTTTGACTTCAGTTTTATAGTGTAAGCTATACAAAAAGTTCCCACGACAACGAGTACAGCTTTATTAGACAAATACATGTCACGTGTCTGTTGAAATTTTAACGGACAAACCACGAGTACCGAGTTTCATGCAGGATACTTGATACATGTATAATGCTTACAGAATTGATGTCGATGGATTTATATGCGATATAAGTTACCTTTAGTCAATATATCAAGATATTTTAAACTTGTATTCACTGATAATAAATGCTTGTATTATGGATATTTTGTTTAGTAACGTATCTGGCAAGACATTTTACGACAGTAGATAATCGCCAAAAAATCATATTTTAGCTGACATTATTGATATTGAATTAATTTAGTTTTGTTTAGACATAAGTAAACTTAAATTATGAAAGAAAACAAATGAATTTTAACTAAACTGAAAAAAAGCATAGTAGCTTTTTTTATCAGAAAAAGTGACGCGACAACGATTATTCGAGTATATTGGCATGCTCACGCACACTTTATGAACAATTTACCGTACGTTTTCAATAAAAAATTGTTTTTGTAAAAACATATTAATGTTGAAACAGTGAACTATGGCTTTGTCGTATAGGCTATATTATAGATGGTGGAATGATCATGCGACATGATTTCTGGTTAATGACGCACGATAAGTGAGAATGGGCGTTTCGCTCTTTACACCAATGAAATATGTCATAGCAAAATTGAAGGCACGAGTGTAAGCTATTTGATTGGTGTCAGGTGAAAAAGCATAACCAATCACTAGGCTGATACTTGATCTTTGAAGATTACAGAGGAGCGACACCCGACCTCAAAGTCAGAAAGTTTTACCGTTACGCGACAACGCCGATATTCTTTTGATGTACATGAAAGGATCAAATTAGTCTTCTCGTCTCGTCCACAAGGTGCTGCACACTGAGCCTTCGATTGTACTAGTATTGGTTATATCATAGGAACCGAGCAATATGTTAGTTATTGTACGAGAGGGGCGGAGCTACTTCTCGAGCGCGTAGCGCGAGAGATGTAAGCTCCGCCCCTCGAGTACGATAACTGACATATTGCGAGGCCTATGATGTAACCGACTTGTCGCATAAAGTGTCACGTAAAAATTTTAAGAGAACATTTGAACATTTGATAATGTCCAGAACTGGTCACAGGAGCACAGCAGTTCAAGCTTCAAGAGACTGTGTGCTGCACCGCTGTTAGAAGTGAGCAAATTATTGGACCCTCCGAAGGAGAAAATGGTAAAAATTGAGGGCGCTACATGTAAAAATGGTAATTCAGATACTAAGCCTACTAATGTGAATATTAACATGCCTACAGAAAAGGACCATGTTCCATTTGCTGTATTTCTAATATGTCCAGAAATGTGTTTCACAATTGCCACGTGTCTTTTAATTACAAGACCGACTGGTACCAGTTTATGCTAAGACTTTAACTTACAAAACGGAAAAAAGATCGACCGTGGAACCTGTCTGTAAAGGCGAAATTTGTTGAATTGTTTGCAACAATGTTGCTTAATAAAATGTGTTTGAACTTCCTGTATTTGTATTTTTATTTATTTCCCACGGTGTCGATATCCTATTAACATCACTAATTGGCCACTGTACACTTTCATTGGCTGACCAATGAGAATGGAGAATTC